AATCCCGAATTTTACGACCCATAAAATGTAAAAATTCACTTAAAGCCGGACCAAAAACTCCAAGGGTTTCCATTACTAGGGGGTAAAAAAGGTATCCGTATTCCAAAAACGAATACTTTCCACGCTTCGCATTTTCAGCCAGCTGGGCCACGCTGCCACATTTCTTGGAGCTTCCAGTGACATGAGAGTCAGCAACCGTACACCAGCTGGTTACATCCCAAACGATCGGTTACTGAAGTATCTGTACTTCACTCAGCTATTCGCACGCTTTAATTTTCTTTGTTAAGATCCGACATTTTCCGAGCATTGAGAAAGATATAATAATTATTTATCCATCTTTCGCGAATATGTTTTTTAAACGAGGCAGAATCTCTTTCCTAAGCGACAGGAGACCTGATTTTATCGACAGAAACATCAGTTTTTGTTGAAGAACCGAGCTCTCGATCAGAATCATCGCGATGTTTATTTACGGGGACGACGAGCACCGCATCGCCGCGTGGAACGCTGTGGACGTCCTCGTCGACGGCCGACTACAGCACGGCGACGTTATCAACGTTGTTGACGGCGGCCTGATCATCGATTTTGGGTGTAGCACCCAGCGCGCGCAGTTCGTCAAATACGGCCGTATCTTCTGCTGCGAGAACTTCCACTTCTACAACCAGGTCTACCGCCCGGGTGACGCCGTGCAGGTGCTGCTTCGTAATCATCCCGACGCGGCCTGGACGTGGTATCCCGGGACGATCGCGTCCCTGGGTGAGTACGACCCAGTTTGGGCGCCGTTGGTGGAGGTGCGATTGCCCGACGGCCGCATCGTCAGGGAACTCTTTCCATCGTTCCAAGTACGCGAACAGCCCACGGATCAGCGATTAGCTGAATTGCGTGTAGTGAAGGAGGATTTTGTCGTCCGTTGTTGTCCGCTGCCCGCAGTTTATTGGGCGGAAGGGTCGCACGCGGCCTGCCAGATCTTCCTGTGCCGATTGAACGAGCGACGCAGCCGCGTACTGTGCATCTCCGTCTTCAACCAGACCCTGGTCTATTTGCAGTACAATGGCGCCACTCCGCTGACGACCAAGCAACTGGTATGTAATTTTGCTTTCACCAAATCACGATGCCATCGTTTGGCTCGCTGCTTTTCCGAATTCACACTTAGAGCATATATAATAGGGTGAAAAAGTTTGTGTACACCCTACTACACAGTGCACACGGCAAGTTGTCACCAAAACTTTGCTGCTTTATTAAAAATTGTTCTAGTGCTGTTGATTTATTCTCCATTGGATGTGTTCGTGTTGCTTACTGTTTTATTGGTTTACCACTAAATTTTTAAGCTACGAACTTGTCAATTTGGACGGTTGAAAAACGGTTTGATAAACGGTTTTCTCATGTAAAAATCTGCCTAGGCTTTCTTATTGAAGTTTTGTTCAGTTGGTTCTGTGGTTTGTGGAAAAGAATGTTATTAGAACTACCGAGATGAGGGCAAACGTGAAGGAAAAAAACGGTTTAAGAATTGATGAAGGGTAATTTCTGCAGGAAAAGGTCTATAAAAGAGCCAAGAAGGAAAAGCCGGACAGCTGCTCGCCGGCGACACTGCAATGGATACGCCGCCACCTGGGAAGCGGTGCACTCAATCACGCCGGCTGGATTACTTTGCAAGACGACCAAGACGTCAGCGGACGGAATGTGGCCTTACCCTTTGAATTGTGGCTGGAAATCTTCCAGACACTGGACTCCATCGAGCGCGTTCGCTGTCGCCGTGTGTGTCAGCTGTGGAACACCATTCTTACGACCGGGGTCTACGTCACCGATTTGCGGGTCTCTGGAAACCTAACGGCCTATGGAGACGAGCGTTTTCCGCAGCAGCATATGTATTTGGTGGTGAACTGCTTGTTGAAGTGTCTCAGCCCTCGTACTGAGAAGGCACGGATCACTGGTCTGGATTTGGACGAATGCGAGCAGTTGGCTGCACTCATCCAGCACCTCCTCAACGGCAGTCGCATCCCGGTCCTGGAGTTGGACCAGTGCCGTTTCGGTGATGAGCGGGCGTTCTTCGCGCAGCTGATCGAGCGTACGGCGCACTTGGCGGTGGCGTATTCGGGATTGGGCGAGAGCGTGATGTGGAAGAACTTGACGCTACAGGACCATAGCTTTTCAGCAGCAGTTAAGGATTTCGCGTTCCACAACGCGGACTTTGAGGGTGTGCAGTTGCAGCTGTGGGAGGTGTTCGAGAGGGATCTGGTGCTGGCGGGCCGCTGGATCGGCAAGGGATTGCCGGGTGGATCGCTGACTGCATTGCGCAGCAGCGCCACAATGAGTTACACCTGATTGTGAAGGTTAGTTACCGGTAGGTAACGGTTATGTTTCGTTTTATACGTGCGAGTTACGCCCCCTTGCTCAAAGAATTGCACTACGCCGGAGCTGAGAGACTGTTAGTTGGTCTGACCCTTAAAATTCTCTGTCTGACTCTTATTGTTAAAGTTTCTTACAAGTTCTCAAGTTTCTTTGGTCTATCATGGTTTTAAAGATTAGTTTCTTTGGTTTCTCAGGATTTTTAATTTTTCACGATTTACTTTTTTTCTTTGGTTCTTCGGATTTCTCGAGTTCTTTATGCTTTCAGATTTTCCAAATTTTTCTTAGTACTTTAGGTTTCTGAACAATTTAATAATGCATATAATTTTTAAGGTTCCTCGATTTATTTGCTTCTTAGGCTTCTTAGAATTTTTCGAGTTTCGTAGGCTCCTCCGGTTTTTTTTTGTAAGTTTTGCTGTCTTATTGTCTTCGGTTTCTTGAAGTACCGTACTTATATTTCTTTGACATCTTTATTTGTGTTTGAGAAACTTAGAAGCCTACGAAACCTAAGAAATCTAAAAAACCTCTATTAGTACAAATCGAAATCAGCGGTTTAGTGGTTAGACTCTGACTCTCAGCGCCGGCGGTTGTATTAACGTGGATACTGTCGCAGGCGCTCAACTGGTACCAGAGCCCGGATCCGCGCACTTCCACCCACTACCGCCTGCGGGGCTGGACATCGTCCACTCTCGGCGAAGTGGATGTCAGCCGGCTGACCACGCTGACGGTGGCCGCTCTGCAGGAAATCAAGGACCCTTTGGTCACCGCCCAGTCCGGCTTTGCTGAACTGGTTGCCCGCCTGTCGCAACCTTGGGTTAATGTTTAGCCTCCTTGTGGATTCTTGATCCACCGGCCGACCTTTCATCTGCAGCATTTCCCGTTGTATGTTCTGTTGTGCATGTCATCTTCTGTACTTTTCCTTTTTTCCGTATTGTCTGACATTAAAGGTGCCACCATCAAAATAAATTTTACAGAATAGGTACATAGAGGCATGTACAGCCCTCTAACCGGCATCGATCTTGACTATAAAATCGTACAAAAGTACTGTAATCTTGTGCGAGGTTATACTAATCGTTCTTCGTAGAAGTACTGCCATTTTGCACAGAAGTACTGAAACGGTTGTGCCGCTTACCAGGGCGGCTCTCGAATAAAAAGCAACAGTTTCGTTAGTGTGATTTTACAATGACCGTACCGGTACGCTGCAAACGTAGTTTATGCCGCGAGTGCACGTTCCGCCGCTGCTGGGAGCTAGCGCACTGGCGAAATTAGGATACAGCAAGGCCTTCATGGCGTTTTCCCAAAGAACTCTTGATCAAAAGAATACTTGAGAAAATACGTTGCTCAGCTCAGCCTCAAATGTAGCAAGTACCAAAAAAGAACAAATGCCCGAAATTATTTATACAGTAGCTGCAACGCGATAAAAAAACGGATAAAAATTTCTACAAAATGGTTACCACGTTTCGGCACTGGTACATTGTTTAGCAGAGCACAGTAAATTTGGCGCCAAACACTGTACCCAGATAAAAATCCATCCAAATCCAGGCTGCTATGCAATGTGCACACTTCCCGCAATCGTCTTTACATGAAAAGCAACCTTAAACGGCGTTGGCGCTGTTTACTTGCCTGGTTTTATCCAGAAACAGGACGATACAATTTGTCCTTGTCGTCAAATAAACCTATGGTCCTTGCTATAATATTATGCGTTGTATTTCCTGTGTAGCACTAGCACAGAAACCGGGCCTCATCGTCGGATAAAGATCCACCGAGGAATTAAGAGAAACGAGCTCTGCTTGAATATCGGCCTGTTCAGCGGTAGTAGCAAACAGATATTCAAGTAGTGATCGTAAATATAGCCCTTTATGGGCATATGTTTTGCCGGAAATATTGCTGGTTTTTCCACAATCCTCCTTTCCTCCAATGCCTGATTCCATCCTTTATAGTCTCGGTTAATCAACAAAAATCCACCCAGACTAAATGACTATTGACTGGGCTAGTTGCTATTAAACCGCATTAATTTTGTGCGTCGGTTGGCATTTGAATAACGCTTTCTGTTCTTGCTGGACTGCCGGGGGAGTATGTACTGTATGCCGTACGGTAGCGTACAACGAGTACTCTAGTAATCGATCAGCACCGCGTACGCAGTCGATTTTGACATCTGAAAGCATCGGATTTTAAGGGAATATATCCAGGAGGTCGTCCCGCTGCCGCTTAATCGATTTAATGCGTTTTTGGCACTACCACTCTAGGCGCGGGAATACAGCTTCCAACAGGAATGGTTAAATTCAACCTGGCTCTGTGCACGCACAGATAGAACAGTTTTGCTAACGCTGCCTGATCTTCGTGTTCCTCCATACTGCAATCCCTGAGCACTGTGACAGCTTATTTCATTTACCCACTCGTCTTTCTTATGCAAGTCATCCACACAGTACCAGTCACATTACTCACCGAATCAGTGTTGAAATAGCTGCCAGAATCATTGATAAACACCAGTTCCCGAAACAATGATAAATATTGGTAATTCTTATTCTTTATTTATTTTATTTTATTTTTTTAATAAACTGAAGTGCACACTGCGCGATGATTTAGTTCGTGTTTATTAGTTTATCCGTCCGTCTCCCACATGAATGCCGATTTATCTCCCACAAACTCCGGTCGGCGGAAACGGCTTTCTTTATGTAATCGTATGGTGAACAACAAGTTTTTGTGGTGACGCTATTTTAACCGCGGCCTCGCAACTACAGTATAGCCAATTGCATGCCTGAAAACCGGTCGATTCGATTTACCGAATTATCCCATCACGTTTCCGGGAATCGCAGAAACGGACGAAAAGTTTTAAACTTTGACTGTACCAAACCAACAACGTCAATAAAATAGAGGCCAGTACGAGTACGAGTAGTGATCACAAGAGTTAGATTAAAGAACAGCAAGTCGTACATAAACAGAAACGAGACGCGCGTCACACAACATATTGTACATACCATACGCAATACATGCATTCTACGTAAAGCGTGTTTAAAATAGATTAGTTGCAGATTTCCAACCATCCAGCATCCATCTTGCCAGTATCTGGACGTCCCGCCCCGTGTAGGTCCTGCCGGATTCATCATCCTTTTCGATCCGAAAGCGGTTATACAAACTTCCCCCGTGTGTATCAGTGTATTGACCACATGTCACACCGTCGCCAACTTGCCAGTTAATCATGATACCCGGTTCGATTTCCGTGACCCGCGTCGACGCGTTGGTGAACCAGCTCCACAGGTTGGATAGCGGCGCACAGCGACACCGTACGTCGCTCGTACACAGCGGATTGCAATGCAGACTCAAGCCGGGACGCCCATGCGACTGCGTAAGACTATCGAGGAAACGACTGTCCACGCTTGTCAGGTTGTTCCCCGCTAGATTGACAGATTCGATGCGGCGCATGCTGAAGAACCGGCTCAGATGGAGCTGACGAACGCCACACATCATCACGGAAACGTGCTGCAAAAATGCAGCTAATTAGCGATTAAAGTATCGCCACCAATCCAGTTACATTGTATAATTTCTCTTTGCTTGATATTAATTAAAGCGAATGAATGTTGTCTAAGCGGTTCACCATGTGTGAGTGTGCGTCTACCTGTTCCGATCAGCTCACCATGAGCGCAGCATGACTAGACGCACTTATCAGATGCTGCCATGGTATTTCTGATTTTAGTAATATCCGTTCTTTTTCCATTCGTACGGAAGAAAACAAAAAAAAACGGAAAAACGTTCTAGTAAATTTAGGTTTCAATCTGGCCGCAACTGTGAGCTGGTGTTTCTCGAATCTGGTAATTGTAATTTCTGGTATTTTTAGGTTCTCGATTCTGGTAATCATAGCTGCTTCGTGATCTCGCATCCTTTCCAACCTGAGCAGTCGACTGCTCCCGGGGAGCGCTGTATAAGCAACCCAGTTAAGATGCTTTCAGAGCATCGTTTTAATACCTTGATAGTGTCAGCCAGTGGCTGCATCATCGACCAATCCAATTGCTCCAGATAGTTGTCGGTGAGGGAGAACGCCTCGAGTCTAGATGGCGGTGCTCCACGTCCCGGTGGCGGAACGAATGCCTCTAAAGCGTCTAAAGCAATGGCGGACAGCCGATTCCGCTCCAGTATCAGGCTCTCGAGGGCCGAGAAACCCGTAAACGTATCCCGTGTTAGTGAGGGCAGATAGATTTCCATCAGCCACAATTTCTTCACCGTCTTCTTGACATTAACCAAGAATCGGCCCACGGGAAACGGGAGATCGTTGGGTGCCACCCAAATATTGCTCAAGCGAATCAGGGTGGTGTTGGGAAGCGGCGGTAGCGGATCGAACGCGGGTAGCAAGCAACTGGAATAGCATTGATCGTAGACACGCGCTACCGTTGTCTGGGTGCCAAGATACAGGTGTACCTGGTCAACGGGAATAGCACTGACGTTGTACACTGGCTTCCCGCAGGTGCAGTACAACCAGCGCGGATCGCACGCCGACAGAACGAACGTTTCACATGGACGTTGGTTACTGGGAAAGAAGGAATAAGAGTCAGATATCCCGTAGCCGCGTTTCCCCGAGTCAAGATGTCGTACGCCAAAATCGCCTGATAGTACCGGCAGGATAATGCCAGCTGTTAGTAGCAACGATGCAAAAATGAATTTACTGAACTGGCACATAGGCATTTTGTAGAATTTACATGCGCTATGCTGTCTTGTCAGATCCTAGTAGTAATGCCTTTTTAGCTGAATAAAGTACATAAATACATACATAATGTGTACATACAGAATGTGTACATAAAGGATTCATGGGTACAAAAGTTAATAAGTGAATGCGAAGTAAAAACTAAACAGCCAAAAGACGGTTGGTTTAAATAACCGTTGACATTTACAGTCACACTGTCACGCATACTGTGCGGAGCATCGACCCGGAACTTTGCAGGCGGTATTATTCATCGCCATCTATGTTGGTCACAACGATAAGAAGCAGCTGTTACAGGTAAAAAATTATTTGAGGTTAATATCCGAGATATGAACGTGTTTCTATATCCCGAAGGCACATATTCTTCGTCAGTGTCCAGTGTTTAGGTTTATACCTGGATTTTAGAGAAGAAAATCATCTGAAAAAATTTAACATCATAATAATAATATCATGGCATGGCATGAATCTGTATTGATTGCTTTACCTTTGCGCAAGAAATAAACCACCAAGCTTGTATACATATCGTTACGTGCATAATGCATCGGCCATTGGCCATTGGCCATCGGCCATTGGTGGTTGGGTGGCAGAAGTGTTCAGTGGCATGACTATATACCGCCATAACCGTTGGATAGGATCAGAAATTCCAGCTGCTCAAGCAGTAGCAGTAATACTCGCCCATCTCCGGAATTCTCAATTGTTCCACCAACAAAAACTTGATCATTCTAAATACCTATTCCAGATGCAGAGGTATTACATACACTGGGATAACGTACAGTAGCAACAATGAGTTCTACCTGTAGTGCTGTGTGTATGAGCCCTATGGATCAGGTCAACGATGACCTTTACAATACCTATAACGATTAGGCAACGCACCGGTGTTTGACTGACCTTTAATGATAATCAATGTGCCCACTACAACAAAGCTATAAGCTAAACAAAAGGTCAAGCTAGTACAATCGCTGGATGGTCCGGTGCAGGGCTGGCTGTAGACTGCTGGTCGGTTGACTTCGCAGGGGAAAGCACACTGGCTTCCGGTGGTTGCAGCTGTGGTTTTATATACCCGCGCGGCGGAGTGGTGCCGCCAGCCGGAGGGTGTGGTCACTGGCGTTATCGCGTGGGAATGAGGCCGCATGATGCAAGGCTGAGCGAGTCTGATGCAAGGCTGATGTCATATGATGTAATCGTCGCTGACCTCGATGATGCTGATGACTAAGCCGTCCGTGACAGTCCTCCTTTTTGAGATTCGACGTCTCTGGCGAATCCAACAGGAACAGGAAGTAAAAAAAACAATTATATACGAAAATTTAAAAAATCAAAATACACAATTTCCACAGCAGAAAGAACCGTTGTAGTGGGCATTACAGTATCAAATAACTGTGAAAAAACAGGCATGAATTTTATATAAAAAAACAATGTTAGTACAATATATTGCAACAACTTAACAAAACATACACAGTATAATGTATATATAACACGACACAAATGTAAATATTATGTTTTTTATTTTATATTAATCGGTTTTATATTCAACAATTAATCATTAATAATTCTTCTTTTTGTATTTTAATATAAAAAGGAATAATAATAAAAATTAACTTCAGTACAAACTTATTGCTGGTCGGCAGCACTACGGTTCACAATCACGTAGCGAGGCATATCCTCGTCCGGACTTGCTGGTGTCTCCGCGCATTGCTGAATGTCATCATTGGCCATCGGGCTGGGGCTTCGTGGTGTTTCGACATAAGGCGGTGGTGAGCGCAACTGGGCAAAATACGCAGGCAAACAAAGCTCCCGGTTCGAGCGGATAATTCCCCTCGGATGAGGAGTAGGCTGCCGCTTGAATGGTCGTGGCTGCACCATCGCCATAGTCGGCGCCTTGGTTGCCGGTTTAGCGAAGGCCGGAAAAACGAAGGAACGTGGCGGTTGCTCTTCACGCTGAGGGCTGCTCCGCTGCACAGCTGATGGTCCCGCTACCATCTGATCGGTGTGCCCAGAACTGCACTGATTTTTTTCGGCGGCATCCCAAATCTTTCGGCACTTGGTAAGCGCGTCCCACAACAAATCGTTGTCTTTGCAAGCGTCTCCAAGGCAGTCGTGGTCCGCTGTGCCATGTCCATCAGGATGTTCATAGCAGGCTGGTCATGCGGAAAACCTTGCTGGTTGACAACGGTATGCGTGAATTCCGTAAACTCATCCACCATGGCTTTGATGGCGTTGTCTCGGGTAATCTTCATACGGTGGAACGATTCAATACGCGCATTTCTGGCACTCTTGCGGCTTACCTTCTTGAACGTCATGACTATCCGCGGTGGTTGATATGGAATTTCTGGAGAGGCAATCCGGCCGCTGCGTGGGTGATCGTTAGCAATATCCATTGCAGGTAATAACAGGTTGACGGGCAAAGTCACTGTATCCACTACTGAAGTAGAATCGTCAGGAACTGTATGATCCGGTACACTAACAGCTAGTTCCGCATGAGTGGGCAACTGATGGTCTGTGCAGTGTTTTATATCCACTTCTGTCTTCCGCCTGCGGCTGAACAGTGTTCGCATGCCTTTTCGATCGCGGGCAGTGCACCAGTTCCCAACGGTGCCGGCCCGACTCCCAGCGTCTGAGACGTTATTATTTTCGTTAAGCAGGCGCGTCCCGAGCAACCATCTTAGCAGTATTAACCCTACATAAATGCCAACTAACATAACTGTAATACTAACAACTGTTCCAACTGTTTGCTTGATGCGCACGTCCATGCCCCAGTCATGGATGAGTGCTTTTGTTAACGTGACAGGCGTTGAAAGACCACTGATGAAAAACTGTTGCAGATCTGTAGCACGTGCTGGCTGTTGCATGTACACGGAGTCAGCATGATAATATGTTGCCGATACATCCACAATCGGGTCAAAGCGGCTGTTAATGTGTAGATGTAGTGCTTGTTGCGTCACTTTGTATATCCTTTTCCACGTGTTATTTATGACCGCATAAATATTATTATTAAAAGAAACAAAAGGCATTGTATGTACACATTTGTACGGTAATAATGTAAGGCCATCCAATCCAATTGTATAATCATTATACCGCGGTTGCAGATATTGACAGGAACCATAAGAATTCTCCACCGTAAATGTAGCATTGATTTTTCCACATTTGAAAACGGCTGCTTTGTCAGTTGTTATCATGTGTACAGCAAAACATTTAGGGTATTTGAGCGCTTTTGCCGCTAATACCGGGCTAAATTGCGATAAAACGACTAAGTTCAACAAAAACGTGTTATCGATCCGGCAATCAAGAGCAGCCACATTTGAAGAGATGTAATTAAGATTTTTTGTATCAATATCTGAGAAATAGTTAAAATGTTGAGACAAGAAGTTTTCTTGAAATAATGCAAATTCTTGCATAGTTGCATTTTGTAACAGTTTTGTCATATTTTTATTCTCATTTTTTAAATTCAGCTTCGGTTTTTCGTAATAATTATTTACCGGTCCAAGCGTAATTTTCAGATTGGGATTTCCGATAACTTGATAAGCCTCCACTTCTTCACCGCACAGTTTTACGCTCTTCCCAATATAATAATCTAACTGATGAACATCATCACGAAGGCGCCGTACATCATTCACAGAATCTAGCTCGCCGTAGCCGTAATTTTTCCTTAACTTTTACAATTTGACGCAGTGCTGGCGTTAGTCCTCCATACAGACGTCACATAATTAATCATTGCAAACTGCTGCATTTTGTCTTTTGCAATCATCATTGTAGCAGAATCCACGGTGCAATTTTTACACTTCTGGTTTAACTGTACTTCCTCCAATATGCAATTAATAGAGTCATAAGTAATTTCCTGTAAATACTTTCCATTTCCTTCCGAATCTTTAGTGTAATCCCATGCATTACCAGTGTTGACCATATCGTTTCCAACACATTTCTTAGAGTGTACCATTTGCCAGCATTCGTCCACAGATACGGCTTTATTTAGTACCGATTTTATTGTATCTGTTCCTCCAAAGAAGAAAGAGGACACAACAGTCCGTTTAATGACTTGTTTGCACATATAAGCAGTAAATGATAATTGTGGGAGCTGCTCCTCATAGAGTACGTAAGCTCTTGTATTCGGTGTTTTTCCATTATTTGGAGCTCCACAAGCTGAAAAATTTTTTAACGAGACCAAACCTAAGAAGTCTTTCCGGCTACAATCACAAACCTCCTGGGTCAACGCGTTTGCGCCATTAAATCCAAAACATAGCAACATTATAAGGATGAGTAACATGCTTGTTCCGGGAAGTAAACATTTTGGTAGTAGGGTCCTCCTTTTTAGCGGTTCTCTTGCACTGAGTTTCTGCACCCGGTTCATCATGTTACCAGTTTCTTCCGCAATGATTTTACATGCATTCTGCAAATCCTGAGCTGTTGACTTTATTTTTCCAATGGAATCTGCCATCCGTAATTTTTTATTCTCTTCCTCTAACCACAAAATCCTTTCGATGTCTTCATTAGACTGTTCCCAGAACCGGCCAAGTAAAATTTCATCATGTCGCCTTTTTTCTTGGCACTTCTTTCTGTAGCAATCGTTACTGCTAAGCAGCTCTTCACTGTGCAGTTTTAGTAGTTCCTCTAGTCTTTTGACATTTAATGCGGGGGTCACAAGTGGCCGGTCGGGCTGAGTTGGTACATCGTCCATAGTGATGCGATTTATATATCCGTACCGTTCTGGTTTTCGAACTGTTCTTTTTGGTCTTTGTTCAATTTTTTCGTCGGTTTGACCCGCGTCCTCGGTGTCTTTAGGAATTAGCAGTAAAGGGCTACTCCAACTGGAGTAGGATGGTTCAATGATGTCTAAGGCCAGGAGCTTATTAATCTCTTCCTCCATGATACGTTGCTCTTTAATTGACGTTCGGTAAGGAGGAACATGAATTGGTTTTGCGTCACCCGTGTCAATAACATGCTCAGTTAGTGACGTGCAGCCAATTCGTTCCCCTTTTTTCGGAAAAATAATTTTAAACTTATTTATAACATTAATTAAACTCAGCTTCTCCTCAGGTGTAATAGTGCTGCCTATATTCAGAGTTTCATAGTCAATATCATTTTCAGAAAACGGGGAAATAATATTTTCGCTTCTAGTTTGATTAATAAATTCATCAACAAGTTCCTCAGAAGTTTTTATTTTATTATCGGTCTGGCTGGAATCTTCTACCTCTTCCAAGTTAAAAACATTTTGTAATAACCAGCCATTTGTAGGTTCTCCGGAGTTTTGTTTTGCTGAACTTTCGACATGACTTAATTTCTTATATGAATTTTTCATTTCATTTTTGAAAATAATATTTTTACTTTTACCTATACAAGATAGACATGGACCTTTCTCCATAAAGTAAAGTCGATGCGTTCTGTAGTCAATAATTACTTTAGCAGCATCCAAAAAGTCGTTACCTAAGAGTATAAGTTCATCTAAGTTAGGATTATCGATAACGGCGCAGTGCACCCGGATGACCTTTCCCGCCAACTCAACATCTAAGGTAATGCCTTTAGAGGGGCTTTTCACATGATCAAAGAACCTTATTGGAAGCCCTAGCCATTCATCTGCGTCTAATTTCAGCATCCTTAAAAGTTTCGAGTTTATAATGGACGGCCCAGCACCCGTATCAATGCATGCCTGGAAGGATTCGCCCTGGATTTTGACTTGTATCGTCATGCAAGTCTTTGGGACATATCTTGCTGCCTCGAAACCTACATTTAACGTGGGTAAAACGTTAACAACAGTTTCTTGGTAATCTTGGAATGGACAATTTTGGTCCTCGACGCCAATTAAGTTAACGTTCTGCTGGCGACTCGGCATAACGGGATAGCGCGGTTGCGGGGAATCACTCGAACTGTTGTCTCTACAGTTGATTTGGTAATGGCCCCTACGGCCACACTTAAAACAAACGGGTCTGCCGTCTCCAGTTCGTGATGAAAACTGACGTTGGCCGTTATACCTTCGTCCTCTATAATGATTTGGATTTTGGTTTCTCCATTCGCCTTGTCTCGGCGGTTCGTTGAAAGTTGACCTTCTGACGTATCCGTTGTAATCTCTTCCGTGCTGTGTTTCTCTTTGATAAGCGTTATCATATCTACTACTAAAGCGGTTTCGCGTACTAAACTTTCCAGGATTGAACTTAAAGTTAAGTACACTATCTAGTTTTTCCACAAGTTCGTTGATTTTTTCGTCCTTCTCGGTCGTTGCTTTATTTCTCTTATTTTCACCGCCAAAGGGAACGTTAAAAGTTACAGTTGATCGTTTTTCCTTTGTCCCTCTGTCTTTAATAGGGTATAGTTCTTCTGCTACTTCCAGGATATCTTTCGGGGTCTTTTTGCCCATAATACGAAGTTGAGTGGCTGTTTGCTTATCTTTCATTCCCTTCAGGATAAAGTATCCTATCTCTGCTTGGTCCATATTTGCGTCCGCATGTTTGCATAAGTCTAAGATAGAAAAATAGTACGTACGAAAATCTTCTTCACTTCCTTGCTGTCGTGAAATCAGAATGTCAATAGCTTGTTGAGGCGTTCCCATTTTCCCAAATGTCTTAAGAAATTCTGTTTCAATGGAATCCCAATTTTCGGGTGCCGCTTCAGGTCTATTTTTAATCCATTTACGAGCAGTTCCCGCTAAAACTTCCGGAAATCTGCGAGCTTTCGTAGGGTCATCCCACGCGTAGGACTCTGCACAACGTAGATATGATTCTAGCCAGGTCTCCGCATCCTCGTGAGGGGCTGCCGAAAATGGTGGTGGTAATTTTACTTTAGGACCTTCGGCCATTCTTCGCGGTTCTTCTAACTGTTGTTGATGATTGCCCTCTTCTTCTCCTGCTGCACCTGCAGGGGCTTGTGCTTCCACTTGGTGACCTTGAATATTACCGTTTTCCACTTCGTGAGCGTTGAAAAGGTTCCCGGCTTCGGGTTCCTCGTTTATTTGGTTGTTAAAACTGTCGTCGCTAAGGTCGATGAAGGCAGTATTATGAGCTTCTTCGTTTTTGATTTTATTACGCTTGATTCCGATGACGAAGAAAGTTCCGGTGTCTTGATACGATTAACGCCTGTCTGGGCCTGTGGATTCCAATACCTGCTGTTAGCCTGCTCCGCTGGAACGATTTCCGGTGGTAACCGTCTTAGCCTCAGCGAAAGTTTCTGCGCTAACGATTTATCTGTCGGGTCACTAGTAGGTTCCTTATTCTTTCTAGACGCCAGTGTATTTCATATTAAATTCCCGTAATTTATTTATACTACAAGTCAATAATCTAGCCCTTATTTTGACCGCTGATTAGTTACTGGTTTTTCACTTTCCCTAATATACTGTATGTTATACGACAGTCTACGTGTGAATTTCCTAGATTTTACCTATTATGCCTAAAATTACCATCCAGCAAAACACACAACTATTTGTAAGTCACTGTGTAGTTACGGACCAGGTAACCACAGCAGCAAGAATACCTGTGTTGTGTCGGCGACTATTTGTAAGTGAGAGTGGCCTATGGTCAGTAGGTACACTAACGCTACCTGTGTCGCAAGTGGGCTAATATTCCAAGGATATCCTTTTTTCCCAAAATTTCAATAATAATGTGCACAAATTTCCAAATCACATAACAATAATCCCTCAAATTTTGGCCAATTCTCAACAACAATTCACAAAAGTTTCTAGCACGTACAAGCCTTACCTTCACGCCAATTTGTAGCAACAATGAGTTCTACCTGTAGTGCTGTGTGTATGAGCCCTATGGATCAGGTCAACGATGACCTTTACAATACCTATAACGATTAGGCAACGCACCGGTGTTTGACTGACCTTTAATGATAATCAATGTGCCCACTACAACAAAGCTATAAGCTAAACAAAAGGTCAAGCTAGTACAATCGCTGGATGGTCCGGTGCAGGGCTGGCTGTAGACTGCTGGTCGGTTGACTTCGCAGGGGAAAGCACACTGGCTTCCGGTGGTTGCAGCTGTGGTTTTATATACCCGCGCGGCGGAGTGGTGCCGCCAGCCGGAGGGTGTGGTCACTGGCGTTATCGCGTGGGAATGAGGCCGCATGATGCAAGGCTGAGCGAGTCTGATGCAAGGCTGATGTCATATGATGTAATCGTCGCTGACCTCGATGATGCTGATGACTAAGCCGTCCGTGACAGTACGAACCTCACACGACGTCGCCATCAGGAGAAACGATCTCCGCTTGAATATCTGTCTGCTGACCGAGAGCAGCAAACGGAGATCCAGAGAGAGATCGTAAATGTAACGGCATTTCCTGAACCGGAAATTGGTAGGTTTTTCCACAATCGACATTTCTTTCAGGTGCCTGAGTTTTCAATCTCGGTAGATCAACAAAAATTCTTCGAATCCAAAACTATTTACTACCGAGCAGACTAGCCGCAGTTGTCACTCACCAGCATCTGTGTAGCGCGATGAGCATTTAAATAATTTTTCCGGTTTCAGTAAATATCTACTGACAAGATCTAGGGCGTATAGCGTAATCGATCGATATTAGCACAGCGTGCGCAATTGATTTTCATATGGGAAAGCATTTTATTACAAGAGTTACACTTATGGCAGCCCGCTGCAGCTAATGGACAAACAAAAATGCTTTTACAAGGAATGGTTGAATTCATCCTGGACTCGATGCGCGCACCGATCCAACTTTTCTCTAAAACATTGCCCATGAAATGTGTAAACATTGCGGCGTGGAGCGCCGTAATGTGTAATTTGGCGCAACCTATGAAGTTGTATTTTCCGCTGTATTTAATCGTGCCCATCATCCGGACTGGCTTGTACATATGTCTAGAATTTGCATATCGTATTCCGCTGCGCCAGCCTACTACTGCTCCTTATACTCAACCGTAAAAGATCCATAGAAGTATTGATTTTCTGAGTTAGGCCAAAGACAGCTGCAGGAGCCGCATACACATGGCGATTTACCGTCCTGTATTCAGATAAATACGTACTCCTACAATATACGATTATTTAAAGTTATACGAGTCTAATAATATTATGAGAGACAATAAATATACCGGTATTGTGAATCACTATATCTGAATACATGTGACTTATATGTGAATCAGAGAGTGAGCATCTTGCTGCATTCAGTACGAGTTTTACGAGGAAATAATGCTGGATTTCTGACTTTTTTAATTTGCTGCCTCAAATCATTTTATTGTATTGAGTCATGTTTGAGAACCGTCCTGCGTGGCGCTACGGCGCCGTGGACGTTCAGGATGACGATGGTTCCTTCCGCCACGGGCTAATCGTGGATGTAGATCCCCAACGCGGTTTCCTCATTGATTTTGATTATCCTGGGCACCACGCAGACTGCATACCGTTTGACAGATGCTTCGGCAGCATTTCTTACCGTTCGTTTGCACCCGGAGATGCAGTACAGATCCTTTGGCGAGCTTTTGGGGACGGTGCATGGCGCTGGTATCCGGCTACACTGATCGCTGGATCGTTTTACACGTTTGCGCTCGTCGAAGTGACAAAAAAGGGAGAAATTATTAGAGAAGTGGTAAAAAAATCGGTGATGATGCCCATGAAGGCGAGACCGCCCATCGACCTGACAAAACACCAAAAGCTCAGCCTGCAGCTCAACTGGTGTGTGTGGAAGCTAGGTCAGGCGTGCAGAGTCGACGATCTGCAGTGGTGGAATCGCGAGAAGGGTTGCAAGTTGGGAATCATTCTCGTAAAAACCGAGAGCGGCAGGCTTATTTACATTTCTAGCAGCGGTTATGATCGCTTTACACGATCGGACCCTTGGACGCTGGTAAGTCGGTGGCTTAATCTTCCCATTTTTTCCCGCTATCCAGTCTCTGTATTACTGAGCCAAACTGAATACAGCGCGCGAATTGCAAAAACACTTTTAAAATACGTAAATTATTTTTAACAAATAAAAGAATCTTTATAGAACGATAGGCCATGCAAAAAATTTTTCGCACTTTCTTTACGTATTTATTTTGTTAAAAAAACCTTGTAAAAAACAATTATTTAAATCATCTCTTATCTTAACAGTTACGTTGAGGTCGAATGCCTTTTTCGATTGCGCCACAAATACGATTTCCATTTCGGTGAAAAACTATTTCAAAAACCGAGTTTCAGAATCACCTAGCAGCTTACAAGCAGAAATCTGAACATTTCAGCAGAAACGGAGCATTCCGGCTTCTAAAATTGGCCATGTCAAAAGGAGGAAGGAAATTTTGTGTGGTCAAAAGGAGGAAGGAAGTTTTTGAGGAAGGAAATTTTCTGGAGTCAAAAGGAGGAAGGAAATTTTTCGGGTTTCTTGAAACAAGTGTATTCGATACAAACACCGATAAATTATTAAATGTACTTCCGGAGCATTCCATAATAACTATTGCCTCATTGACTATCGCATCAGCGCTCGCAAAATGGCGCGCAAATGTCTTGCATCTTACCATACCGAGCACTGCGCTTGAACTCGACATAACAATAACATATGCTACCCGGACCAAAGCCTGTGTGAGCGACAAACACATTTTTGGACAAAAGCCCTTTACGATGCCACCGGAGTGTGATCTTGTCTGATTCCTTTATTGCTCTTCAAAACAACCAAGCTTTCCCGTGTCCAGACCGACGCAGCAGACGGGTGTAATCTAGCCGGTGGGCGAGCAAAAGCGTCGACGCATATGAACGCATTTCGCACAAAGCGTCATTCCCCAATAGGCATTTTCGTAAATGATATCGTTGCGCAATTCTAATACAAAACACTTAAACCAAAAATTAGCTGTTGTGTTATGAATTTTTAACTGAGTGAGGCTGTAGGCACCCCTTTCACCCCGTTTGCTGTAGGCATCCCCTTTTGCAACCTATTTTACTGACGGAGAGACGAGTACGATAGAATAATACCGTAATATCAATCCTACCGACCTGACTCAACGACAGAGAATGAGCTGATAATCTCAATGTGGCATAACTAAATAATATGAGTAAGCTACGATCTACGCGAAGCGGGAATACGACTCTGCATTCCGACGATATTTTTAATAGAAAACTCCGACACTGCCAAACTCAGAATGAGAACCAACTGATGCCAAAAATACTGTAACTCTCGGACTTATATAGGCGCGAAGCGCATCCGGTTAGAAAAGCCAAAAGTATATCCGAAGACAAAAGAGAAAGTGCTGGAAAGTAAAAACATGTACGAGTACTGATGGAAACGTACTGCACTAAGCCGCTACGCACACCATATAAGAACCCCTTTTCTATTATATAATTCTCGCGGCCTGTTTTCTTCGCGGACTATAAGCAGATCAGACATTCACATAAAAAGGCTTACTAGGCGCTCCATCCGGCAATGGGCCGGTTTGGCTGATTGGCCAGCAGAGGATCGAATGCATACAGCTGTACGGCATCTTCTACGCGCACGACAATATCGCCCTTCCGGGCGGTGCTCGTTCGCTTGTCTGTGTTTTGGGGTTTCCCAACAAGATTTCAGTTTCTAGAATCTCTGCTAGCCGGGTACGTTGGGTGGGCCGTGGGAGCTTTGGTGAGTACCGTGGGATCTCTGGCAGGTGCGGCAGAGGTGCCCTTCCATAATTTCACACTACCAAGCGCAGACCATTGGCCCGCATGATTCGTGCCGGGCAACTGTCGCTGCACAACCGGAAACTTTAGCTGGGAATGCAATCATTTTCTGAAAATTCTCCCATATTGTCAAGAAAACTCGACCTTAAAACATAGCAACGGAAAACAGGGGGATGCCTACAGATAACGAGGCGGAAAGGGGGCGCCTATAGGCAGCTCCTTTTAAACTTTGCTAGACAACGGCACAGCCATCTGGCAGTAATATGGAAGGTTGATGAAGACGCACGAACGGCGTATGTAGATTTTCTGTAGTACAGTATTTATTTTGATTTCACAATTCGGATGATAAGCATATGCCTTAAGCAAAAGTATTCGATGTCTTAGCAAAAGCAGTCGTCTGCTTTTTCGTTATTTTTTGTTGTTTCGTGTTTTTGAATGAAATTTCTGTTTTTGATTTCTTGTTCTTCTTCGTGCGAAACGGTTGACATTTTTCGAAGCGCTACCGGGAGTTGGGTTATAAAAATTCGATTCGTCAAAAACTTTTATCATAATGTCACTGAATGTGAAACTTTCCTTCCTCTTTTGACCCGAAAAATTTCCTTCCTCAAAAATTTCCTTCCTCCTTTCGACCACACAAAATTTCCTTCCTCTAAAAATTCCTTCCTCCTTTTGACATTGGCCTCTAAAATTTGGCATCTGTACTAAGTAGCGGATGGCTTTATACTAGGTTGAGATTTTCCGCGGCATGGGTAAGCGGAAAAAGGCTCGTCAAACTGCGACTGTTGCTCGTCGGGATAGTTCATACGGTTGCTGCAACTGCTTTCAGGTAGGTCATAGACGTGTTCCTTAGTTAGCAACATTTCCAAACGGCTGACATGCGGACGTCGATCACAACGTCATTCGTTGCCGTTAACGAGGAGTTTCGGAACCAGCTCACGGCACTGCTGCCGTCACCCGGCTGTGACGTTACGGCAGTACATAGGGTTAATTCGAGCCCGGTACATAAGCATCATGTTTAGCCGCAACGTAAAACTCCAGCAGGGTGACGGCAGCAGTCCAGGGAGACGATTCGGGTAGAATGGTTCTGCCCCCTATATCATTTTTTTCAGATGTAACGTCACGTAAGTAATGCATATGTTTTTTTGCACTAAACTAGATTTCCAAAACCAAAGAGCCAACCGATTACCGACCTTGCATCAACTCCGTTCTTCCTGTGGAACTGATTACTCGAATAATTTCTCTCCTGGAATTACGCCAGCAAGTGCAATGCCAGCGAGTCTGTAAACGGTGGCGGTATGCCTTGACATTCTGCGATCGCCTGCAACTGGATCTCGATGCATACGCCACAGATGAGCTGGCCGTGGCACTCTACAGAAACATCTCATCTTTTGTCAAAAAAATTAGTTTTGTTGGTGACTTGGCTCGTTACGCTCGTTCGGCTGATCCCATTGCGACTCTGATTGGTCTCTTAATTGTCAAGCGCGCTCGAGTCAAACAAATTTCTCTTTCCCATTTTGATTTGTGGGCTAACGACTTCTTATGCTTTTCTGACTCGACGAACCTAAAATTCCGGTCGGAAGTGACTAATGTCTGTGATAATCTGGCTCTGGAAGATGTGCAAATCATGGGTCTCGTATATGTGGACGCCGAGTTCTGTAGCTGCCTGAGAGAATCCGCGTTTTATGAGGTCCCATACGAATGGCGTTTCCAGGCGCTAGACCTGAAAAGCACTGTGGAAATTGACCGATGCGTACTTAGTACGAGCAGAGAAGTGCAACCGAATTCTTTACTGCAACTTCTGGAAACCGGATGCGCGCCTATGAACACCGAGAAATTTCGGTCGCTGGAAGCCATGTTAGCCGCACATCCACCCGATAGAACGGTTATTTCGCAGGTACGGAACCAAAGTTGACACTACAGAGTACAGACTCTGTAGACGTTTGCTTGGTTGCATAGGTTTTAGGTAGTAGTAGTACGGCCCTTCCCTGACCTCCGTTTCGCTGCCGGACGATATACTGACGGACATATAAAGAGTTGATTTACTGTAGCTGATTCAAACTACTTCCTGACCGATATGGTCAACAGCTTGTCCGTATAACCGACAACTGCAGGCTATAAATACGCACGCCAATTGGGAAAATGCATGGTTTTTGCAGCACATGCTGCACTTTAATGCAGTATTTCGCGTCTGTACAAGCTCTGAATTTGCGTAAAAGAGGATATGCAGCTTCCACGTTGTTTGCTCTCGTTACTAGCCGTAATACAGTCCTTATAACGGCTGGAGAAAATATGCTGAACAACATCAGGAGGATTCAGGACATAACAGACTTCTGTACTTCAAGATCTTTAAATTTTTAAATCCAGTAAATCTTTAAATTTTTTAGGTGCTAAAGCAGTGGCAGCCGCGAGATTCTCGATTTGATGACATTGTGGCAAGCAGTGACTGGCTATCTCGTATTCCTTTGCAGTCCTTTGGGAAACTGGCATTATTCGCGCTGCAGTGGCACCTGGACACTCGCCTTTCCAAAAAAGGCCGGTGGCACGTGTATTAGCGTTACTTGATTTTGATTTTACTAAATGAAGGACAACACATCATGACTGCAGACTTCGAAGGCCTCTACAGAGTATAGAGGAAATTTGGGTGAGTTAATGTAATGGCGTAGTGTCTCTAAGGCCTTGTCCCGAATTCGAAGCGAATTTTGTTGCGATGCAGCAATTCCACTTAGCGAGGTGGCTTCGCGTACCGTGTCTGTGGGCGTGGCCACTGCATACAGCCACCTCGTGCGGTTGAGCAACCATACCAAAGCGAGATTCGCTTCGAATTCGAGACGAGACCAAAATCTTGAAAGCGGTATCGAAATTATATTATTTCAGAGCTTTCCTGTTCTTTGACAAACGAGGCGGTTACATGGATTCGAAAATAATGCCGACAGGATTGCCGGAGTAGTGGATGAACCGTGAACATGAAGTTAATAAATTCTGCAAGCCAGGAGACAAACAGAAAATTACTAGAGAAAAATGTGGTAATAAATTAGATTAAAAAAAATTCTTTTCGACATTAATCGTGCAAATTGCTTCTGATATAAAACTGCGTAGTCGTGAACAAACACGAAAATTTGAATGGTCACGAGCTAGTAAGTTAAATGTCTCCAAGCTTTTTTTTATCAGTTGACATGTATTGTTTCCTTTAACCAGATAAACTGCAAGTCAAAAAAATTTTACAAGCTCCTGTACCCTGTTCCTTAATGTTGTTAATCAGACGTGAAAAAGCGTTGCTCGAGTAATTTACCGAATAAACACAGTCAGCTGACGTAAGTTGTTTCTTAGGTCGTATTAGGAACAACAAGTCCTTGTGGTAACGTCATTTTGACCGCAGCTACGGTACAGTAAAACAAACAACGTGTGTGAAAACCGGTTGGTTCGATTTAGAGCAATTGTTCAACCTTTTGTTTGGGAATCACAAAACGGACAGGAAGGTCAAAATATGAAAGTACCCAAAACATCATCAGCTAAGTCTTCATTACCGCTAAATTAAATATTCGTCTTGGTTGCAGTCATATAATCCCAACGAAGCATGACAACATTACTGGCAGCATACGCATTCACCCGTTGATCCGCGACATTCTTAGGATCAAACCGCACACCGGCCGATTCCAGCTTCAAGGCCACCTCATCCTTAGGCCCAACCGAAGCGGCGAGTTTACTGGACACATCGATGACCGCCAAGATATCCCCGAAACGAACCTGGCGGGACAGCGGATGGACGCCGTTAACCTGGACGTCGAAGAAGATAGACGGATTCTTGGCGAAGCGCTGTTTGACCTTCTTGATGGCGTCCTCCACGGCGCGGCTCATCGCGCCCTTATCCGCCTGCATGTAGGACATGGGGAAGAAGTTGCTCTGGAAGTTGTCGTCCGTCGTGCTCTTCTCGTAGTTGGAGCATTTGATGACGACGGGCTGTGTCCGCCGGGATACAGGTCCAGTGCGCTGTAGTTGCAGTAGCTGTTCACCGTGGTCTCCGGAATGCCGGCGGCGGTGAATCCAGAAAACAGGCCGACGACTACGCAAACAGTTAAAAAGAGAAGAGCGTCCATGTTGAAAGTACTGGAAAGTTTAACGTTGAAAAAGAGATACTGAACCGTTGTTAGTGAACCGTTTACCGGCATTTATTGTCCGTTCAGACTGTCGCAGTTTTGCGTGGCTTGACGCTTCGTCGACATTGTAGCTGGAATTACCGTGTAACCGGTCAAAAGCAGCCCCTGGATTACACTTCAAACAGTCATTCATGGAACGTGTTTTCAAGTGTTGTTTACAATGTCCGTGAATTTCCGCGATTCTGTCAGTGAATTTCCACGAGTTTGCCACTCGAACTCGTATTAAGCTTTGTCGGCACAAAACATAAGTGAGGATGCTTGCAATAAAACGCACCACGGCGCAATACGTTGAAATCATTTGAAAGACTTTATCGCTGTACGTGAGCCGCTTCTCTCCTCACACAAACATGCACACATGTAGCCGGCAAAACTGTTAACATGTTAACAGTTAACGCATTAACATGTGAGCCGGACGAGAATGTTAACGTTAACATTCCCGCCGGGCCCAAATGTTAACGTCCAAAACCATGCACGCTTGTAGATATATTCAATCTCTGTTGCACACTAATCGCGGTTTACGAGTCATTTACTAAAATCAAGTTCAATCACACTTATTTTAGATTATACATGAAGTCCCGCGAAAGTTGGTTGTTGGTATGTATAATTATACGAGCTGAGTGTATGTATATATAATATAGGTACTCCTAGAAGAGACTTTGTATCCGTGTTTAGAAGTCTGTATCCGTGTCAACGGATTTCACGCCTACGAACGCCAAAAAACTGGCTACACAATGTCAAAAAGCAACCCAAAAAAGTGTTTGGAAGTGCGCGAAAGCGAATATCCCCGTCAATGTACACGCATTAGTGCTACGTACCGGGCCAAATTTCTTAACGCCGTAACATGGGCGCTGGGTTTAATTTTCCATTTCAAGAAAGTCTTTTACTTTGAAATGTATTTTTTTTCTAACAATTCATGCTGTCTGTACGACCTTGTAATTGTTGTTGTTGTGCAATTAATGCTATGAGACCAATGAATTCATCGTTATGAGATTTACTATCGCATTTACTAAGCGTTAACACCTCTGCCGGTACGTGCGTTAACGTCATCATCCTCGCCTGGCATCATGCTACTTTATAAGCACTGTAAGGTAGATAGTATATAGGGAGAAAACTATTCTACCCGTACCAAATCCACGTACTGCTGCCGTCACCCGGCTGGAGTGCGACGTTGCGGCAATGCATATGGTTAAATCAGGCGCGGTACATAAGAGCCATGTGTAGCGTCAACGTAAACCACCAGCTGGCTGCTGGCTTATATCAGAAGTACAGAGTGCAAGGAACTGGTTTGGCTAAACTTATTTTTCCCCTATATACTTTATAGTTAATTTTACAGCAATTAGGATTTATGTGTTTCACGATTTCTAATTTTGTATACTTGTATTATGTTGGTTTTTTGATTTTTCAAAACACTGCATTAAAGGCAACATCGCATCAAATATCCATTGCGTCAAATATTGCATAAGGTAAGTATACGGTATTCCAGTCAAAATAGCTTGTTAACGCCGTCAACCGTTATAACGCCGTTAACATTTGAGCCGGCACATGTTATAAGGCCGTTAACATTTGAGCCGGCACATGTTATAACGCCGTTAACATTTCAGCCGACACATGTTCTAACGCCGTTAACATTTCAGCCGGCACGCGTTATAACGCCGTTAACTTCCGAGCCCAAAATCTAATGCATGTTTTCAGTATGTTTCAGTTTTCAGTATTCAGTATGTTAAGTGTAGGTTGTACGCAATTGACATATTGTAAGTTTTATCATTAAGTAGGTTGCGTTTTGCACGGTCATACGTTTAACGGCAAAATTACCGACGGTTTTAATTTTGGGGCGCATAGCAATTTAACTAAGCGCTTCAGAATTTTTGGGCGCATAGAACTGATAGGAGTGACCTTTAATATAATTACGGACTGCAAATTAAGGAGCCGCACGTGATTTTTAATGTATTGCTCCAAATACATAAAAATTACGTGCAACGATGAATCTACGGGAACCGTGTTGCTCGAAAGAGTTTCAAGCTTCAGTGTCATTTTCCAGGAAGAAGTCACGCTCTTGTATATCGCCTTCCATGGAGCCTTTGCTTTGGAGACAGAATAAACTGCAACCTCAGATCGACATGTTGACATCGCCCGAGCATCACCGTCCGCCTCAGTCTTGTGCGTCGCCGGATGGTGGTAAGCGTAACAGCATCTTAAATTTAGTGATTGCTCATCGCCTGCTGCTAGTCGAGTTCTTCGTATTCGTATACGAATACGAATACGTGTCCATACGAATGCCGAAAAAATAATAGAACATTAAAATATGGGCCGGGCTCGAAATTTAACAGCGTTATGCCGCGTGCCGGCTGAAATGTTAGCGGCATTATAACGTGTATCAGCTGAAATGTTAACAGCGTTAACAAGCTGTTTTGACTGGAATGCCGTATATTACCTTATGCGATATGCGATGCGATGCCGTATATATATAACTTAGGCGATATTTAACGCAATGGATATTTGATGCGATGTTGCTTTTATTACAGTGTTTTGAAAGATCAACAAGAAACTGTAAATCACCATAATAATTATATGCATACAAAATTAAAATTCGTGAAACACGAAAATCCTAAACATAGCTGCATAATAAATTATATGGTTTATACTATCTACTTTACATGCTCATAAAGTAGCATGCTGTCGGGCGAGGAAGTTAACGATAACACTCGTACCGGCAGGGATGCTAGCGCTTATTAGATGCGATATTAATTCTCATGAATTAATCACTCTCATAGCGTTAGTTGCACAACAATGGCTAACCTTGTTTAGAATTTAGGAATTTTCTTTCAGCCATAACTTTCTAACCGGACGTTGCGCTGGTTCGACCGGACGACAAACGGTTCTAATTGCCGATATACGCAAATCACTTTGCTGCACAATGTCATAAGAACTGTGCCTTATGACATTGTGCATTTTGAAAATATGTGAAAGTGGATGTTTTTGTGCGTTTACCCGAATTTAGTAACACTTTTTGCGAAAAGAACTTTTGGATTCGACGTGGACAGGGCTGCATTCATGCAGCGAATGTTTCCTGTAAAAGGCTTCTGTGCGACAAGTGCCGGACACGAAAAATCATGGCAAACAACTGCTATATGCTGTATACAGTCATAATAAATGAGTTATATATTTAGAGCCGCCACGCGCTGAATTTGCTTACCTATACGTGATTGCGGCTGTTAAGTAACAAGAGTTATTAGATTTAATACCACCGTTAACAATGCGGCCGGGCGGGAATGTTAACGCTAATACACGTACCGGCAGTGATATGTTAACGCTTATTAGATGCGATATAATTCTCGCAAATTAATTAGTAAATTCTCATACCAATAACTGCATAACAATGGCAGTTAAACGAATATTCAGATAGCATTTGTATAAATAGAAAACACATTCCAAAGTAAAGGGATTTCTTGAACTAGAAAATAAGTCCGGCACCCATTCTGGCCCGACTAGAATGTTAACGGTGTAATGTGACACCACTGATGAGCCTACGAATGTGTGTTCTACTCGTACATACAGCGCCTCTGCACGTAAGAACCGCTCATGATGAAACGCTGCATCAGTTTTGGGAACGATGGAAGGAGCAGAAAAGTTAAATGAAATTTTCATGTTGTAAAATTATGTTGTTTTAAGCTGTTGCATAACCGTTGTACCACAGGTAATAAACGTACCGCGCCTCTGCATGTTTACTGCAGCCTGTATGCCGCCTGTCTGCCCAACAAGTACAACAGGCGACGGCAGATAGGCACATTAGTAAGTACAGTAATTAATAAGCAGAAAGTTGGTATAGAAATTTTGAGCCGAAACGTACTTCCAGTTTAGATCGTTAATTATTGATTTACGAAAACTGTTGATTTCTTTCGAAAAACAATAATTGTAACTAGCATATGCTTCAAAGAAAAAATAGTAATAGAAAACAAAAAATAGGTGTAAAATGAAAATGAGTGAGAAAAAGAGAATTTATGGCCAATGTCAAAACGCCGGCAGAATTTCCTGCCGACCGAATTTTTGTGTGGTCAAAATGCCGGCCGAATTTTCTGCCGGCAGAATTTTTGTGTGGTCAAAACGCCGGCCGAATTTCTTGTAGTCAAAACGCCGGCAGAATTTTTTCAACATTTTCAACTGTAAGTAAAAATACTAAAAAATATTACCTGGCTCGATGCATACTTGCCACGCGTTGTATAACAAAGGTTTGGACACTAACACTTACATTTACATAAGGATCTTTATCGGCACGCTTCTAGTGCTGTTGCATTGACAGCGAACAACATAGATACTCTCGGAAGAGAATGAAAAAGCCGCGCAAAACAGACAAACAAGGTGTTTAACAATGCCATTGCGGCAATAACACCAAAGTGTGATCTAGTCTGATCCCTTTTGAAACGTACCTGAGATGAGTTGGAACTTCTGAGTCTAGAATGGCACAGCTGACTCTCGTGACGGAATTTCTACGCGCAGACGTACAAAGGAAAAAGGCGTTCGTCGATGCGTTGATTTTACAACATTTATCTTTTGTTTTTTTCTTGTTGTTTATTAGTTTGTCAGGTAAGTGTATTAGGTGATTGGTTTTTGAGAGCGCAGTGGACACTCCTTTAATTTTGCTTATTTGTCGGACAATGGATCATGTTTGGGTACAGGTAGAAGCTTCTTCTGAAACGAATACAGTGCATAATGTGTTAACGCTTTACTTTTTGCGTGGATCGCTTTAAGTTGATTTTCTACTTATTTTTGTAACACCTTGTTTGTCTCTTTTGCGCTTCATCTTCATTCTCTATCGGAATTTCTATGCACGCTGCCAAAGAAACACTAACATCGTGCCGATGAAGATATTGTAAGTGTAGAGTCCCAAACCTTTGTTATACACCGCGTGGCAAGTATGCCTCGAGGCAGGTAATATTTTTTAGAAGTTTTATTTACAGTTGAAAATGTTGAAAAAATTATGCCGGCGTTTTGACCACAAGAAATTCGGCCGGCGTTTTGACCACACAAAAATTCTGTCGGCGGAAAATTCGGTCGGCACTTTGACCACACAAAAATTCGGTCGGCAGGAAATTCTGCCGGCGTTTTGACATTGGCCGAATTTATGAAGAGGGGAATGGGAATGAGAATTCTGAAATGGGCAGCTCTGGTATGAATGCTATATTTTGGCCCGGTTTGTTGCGAAAAGAAACTTTTGTATTTGGGGTGGGCACATATATATTTCTATG